AGAATTGAAATACGAACGACTTTTAGCTGAGGTTGACATTTAACTTATAATTCCTCACAGAATCGGAGTTAAAAAAGAAATTAACAGAATCACACAAAGGCACCCCCCTTTAGACCCCTTTGGTAACCCCGGGTGCCCGGCCGGGCAGGACAGGTCGGGCGTGAGAATCTTCCTAGCCCAAAGGACCTCTCCGCTCTTTTTTTTTCTCTTCCTTTCTATGTGTGATCCTCCCACTGGTCCATCTGAGTATGGGTTGACTGCCCCTCGATGCTAATGAAGAGCCCTCCTATCTCCTGGATTCAATGAATGCCGACCACTCCTATTCTGATCTCAATCCATCGTATACTTGGCTTACTTGGCTTAACTTAAGCTTGCCTCCTACTCCTTCCAATCCCGTCTAATGAGATCGGTCCATAACTATATGGCATGACATATGCCCCCTCCTCATTTGCCACGCAATGCCTGCTCTCCTTACCCGGTTGCTGTAAAAATCACCAGCGCCGAGCAATAATCACCGAAGATCTGCTCGGACCATCCGTGGCTAGTCCTCGGAATTCACAGGGTACCTCTAATATGTCTATCGATCTAAACCGTCTGTCATTCAAATCTTGTCTACTGTCTTCCTCGATCATGTGAAATTCCCTCTCGGTGCTTTCACAACTTCTCTCATAGGATCTATGCTGTCTCCATGATGCATGTTTGTATTGAAATACCAAACTGAATACTGAGTTGAAATGTCAGTCATCAACTGTTACATGTCATTTTATGCTTTTAAATTACTAGTTGGTCAATTTAGGGGCCAATTGGTGATTGCTTGAGCCTGGTGTCCGAAGTACCCGTACGACGAGCCTCGTTCGATTATGCTTCAACCAGGGCAGGGTCGCTAGCCCTGGTGCCTGTCACTACTGTTTGGTCCAAGTTTTCCTCGATACTGGAAGGGTGATGGTCCTGAGTGCTGGTCACACTGAGGTAGGATAGTAGGGATAGGGGATGCGCTAGGAATATTGACGCGAGGATGGGATTGGAGGTGGCCTCGCCTCCTCAGGGCGACCACGGCTGACCGCTTCCGGCAATCAATGTGTGCCTAGTAACTGGCCTCTACAACACCCTGGACTTAAAAAAAAAAAAAAAACAATGTCATGTCATTTTACTCTTCAAAGGTAGCATGGATGGGTGGCAATTGAAACCGTTACGGTATGTGATGGGCTATGGGTGGACCTGGTTTACGACTGAAACAGTAGACTACATGGCGTATGCGCCACATGATAATTTCCGAACACACACACACACATACTCTCTCTCTCTCTCTCTCGCGCGCGCTGTGTGAGTCGCGCGCATGCCCGCTTGAGAGAGACAGAGACAGAGGGAGCGCGCGCGCTCCCTCACACGGCTGCTCTCGTTTTAATGTTTTTTAACTTTTAGAAATTTAGACCCAAAAAAAGGGGTTGTAGAGCTTTTTGTGTTGTACCCCCCCCCCCCCACCCGCTTTTCTTTTCTTTTTGGCAGATTTTTTGGCCCTGAAGGCGGCATAGTACGGTCCTGTCCGACTGGTCCGTACAACCGTTCGACCGCCTGGTCGGATGGGCCGTACGTAGACCCTCTGTACCAAGTAGGGGGTTATTCACAGGCAGGAACTGCCTCGGGGGAGGCAAGGGGGGACAGATTACAATGGTGAAATGGGCAGGGTGGCAGCATGGTGAGCACCAGCAAATGGAGCCATGCCCGAAGGACTACTCCCTAGGCTTTCGTAAACGGACAGATTGACAACTCTTTCTCATTGAAACCACCTTCGGGGGGGGAGGGTTGTCGAGTTGAGTTGGTTTGGGAGGGAGGTGGCATAAGGGCAAGGGCTGTCCCTCTGGCCATCCCCTGGAGGGTTCACCGCCCCATGACTACCGATTTAAACTCATATTGGTCTATTATAATATCGCCGTCTATATATACATCTAAGGGGACGCTGGATCCGTTTTCCAGCAAGTGCTGCTCCCTACCAATAGAACGGAACCATCGCCTGTGGGGAGACACTAGTGGGTGTGTCTCATACCGCCCGCACTGGTGGACCCTGGGAAAACTTGTTTTGTTTTCCTTAAAAAAAGGGGACTTTGGGTCGAACGCGTCGCAGGTTAGCGCTAGGGTGATGCGCTAATTCTCGCGCCGCCACGCCGTCGAGCGCCGCACCGTCGTGCGTCTCGCCCATCACGCGCTAGCGCTAGGGGCAGAGCCATCGGGGGCGCCGCACGATAGAGCGCCTAGGCGCTGATTTGTAGCATCGAGGTATCTCACCGCTTATCCCGGGGAGATTCATCCCGTGAGAGGGTGACGGATGTCCGAACGCTCAAGAGGATACAATCTAGCCGTCCGTTTTCCATGAGATGCACCCGAGTTTCAAGATCAGAGTCGTTACGAGCATCTACTCGAAGAGGACGGACAGTAACACTATCTAGCCGTTAGATTGGAGTTCGCTACGAGCAGCTGCTCGTAGAGGACGGATAGTAGCACTATCTAGCCGATCATCTAAGGAGGATCTATCAGCATCACATGAGAGACCCAAGAGGAAGCAGAGGACCGAGAGAAGCAGGCGCAGTTTCAAGATTTGGGCACTTTCCAAGTCTGAAGATTCCACGGCGGAGTTTTTTAGACTCTGCGTCGTTTCGCCTTAAAGTTTTCCAATTACAGAAAAAACGGGAGGACTACACTTCACGACAGAAAGACGAGGGGCCCACTGGGAAACAAGTACAAGAGCCAGCAAAAACTTATTCCACACGGCCCTGAATAGGAAAGGGCGACTTCAGAAAGAGCCCTCCCTGTTCGATGCCAAGAGTACAGCATCCTTCTCCACGAGCGACAAGAGACAAAGGTATTTGAACGACAGCAAGAGCAGATACAAACAAGAAAGACAAGCACAAGACCTGTCCACAAGTCCAGGTCCAGACAAGAATGATAACTGTAACAGATTTTAGGGCAAGACGAGACAAACTGGTGTGAACCCCCTCCACCCTCCACTTGCTGATCCCTTTTTCCCGACTCATTCCTTACCTACTACTAACATCCCCCTACTACCCTAGCACCTTCAAACCCCTCCCCGTCCCATACTCAAGCATCCCTGACAGGACCTCGCCCCCATACCAGCACTGCGATATACGGCTTGGCTTCGGAGCGTGAAGCTGTTTTTCATCTCGTCTCACCCCTCGCTTCACCCACTGCTTCGCATCCATCCAAGCAGTCACTCCACCCTCGTACAGTCGGCGCTTCCTGACACCTCACCTGCTAAAAAAAAAAAAAAAAAATAAAAAAAAAAAAAAAAAAATGGGCCCCCCCCCCCCCCCCCCCCCCCCCTCTCATCTGTCCGGAATCCTCTAACTCTCAACTTGCTCCCACTCCCCACAAACTCTCTCCTCCTCTTCTACGGGTAAAGCACTAAGGTTTTCCTCTCGAACAATAGAATGCAAGCCCCTAAGAACGACCGTACCGCCGCCACCTACTCATCGGCGGCGATGCGGACCTCTCAGACAACCAAGATGACTTCGAGTGTGGTTGACAACGAAGCTTTAAAATTTCTCATTGAGAAAACCAAGGTCGAAGGCATACAGGTGAAAGAAACACTGCCCAACACGCAAGGCAAGGAAGAAGAAATTGTTGTCTGGAAGTACCCTGAAGAAAAAGTGGTTGAACTTGACGAATTTCACGAGAAACATGGTGTGATTTTCAGCTTTGCAAGGAGCGGAGCTGAGCTTATGCCAGCGGAAAAAAAAAAATGGGTGATTGCAACAATTAAGAAAGAAGAAAAAATGAAAAACATCAACGATGCTTTCTCGCTACAAAGTCTGGGTCGCAATTCGATCATGGTGGTGTTCAACCATGAGAAGCACGCGTTGATAGCGTCTGAAATGAAATCAAGGAATTGCAATGGCTCGGTCTGCACAATCTCAGCTTGGAAAAAGCAAACGAATCAACGGCCAAATCCTACCTACACAGTCTCATACAAACAAACGTTGATGAAGGAGAATTTATGGGTGCAGTTTGATAGAATCCAGTTAGCGTTTCATGGACTCCTGGTCGACAGATTGGAGGAACAGTACCCAGCGAACAAAATCCTTAAATGGATTTTGCCAACGCCGAAGTTTCTGGCTCCCCACTGTGGCACAATGACAACAATCCTGGAGGTGAAAACCGACGATCCACCGGTCTTCCCGACGGAATGGAAATTCGCAATTCAGGATAGAGAACTGTCCATCCAAATCTCTACGAAGACCTTGCCACTCTGCTTCAGATGCAGAGAACGTGGCCACCTCGGCACTGACCTACACAACCCCAAATTTCCAAAGAATCAGAAGGAAAGGAAGCTCCTACCCGACATGTTGGTGGAGGTGGAGGATGCCCCTGGCACGTGGTTCATAGTGGATTCTACCTATGATGGGTGGGTGTTCGACGATAATCTAGAGGAACCTGACTGGGTATGGCATTACTCAGACAAGGAGGCCACAACCAAGAAGCCATACATTTTTCCCCCGGCTGACAGCAGGTGGCAAAAAAACGCAACAGGGAAAGAAGCAGGTAATCCCACGAAGATCAATGTGATACCCCTGAATGACTCCCGTGTCATTAGGGAGGAGAAAACAAGGGAGGATCTGCTCTGGGACCTAGAGACAGTAAGGGAACAGGCCGAACAGGAGTACAACAAGGAACCTGAAAATTTTCAAAAGCAGACTCAGGAAATAATTGAGCTCAAAGAGAACGAAAGCAAAACTGAAAACGGGCAAAAAACAGCTAACCTACAGTGTGAAAACAAGAGAACCTTAGACAACAGCCCGATCAAAGAGAGAGGACAGGCTGATTCAAAGAGGAGGAGGGCTAACACTGCTGAAGGCGCTGAAGGCGTAGATGCAAGCCCAAAAAACAGTGTAACGGAGAAGCCTGCTAAAGACTCGGACTTTGCCATGGACGAAGAGGACAGTGAAGACAACAAAAGTTCAAGTGGCTCTGCCCCCATCAGCGACCAGACTTCCCCTCCCAACAGGTCTCTTCAATGGCTCCGTGAGTACATCGAAAACACAAAGAGGGAGAGGGAACACCTGTTCAACATCCGAACAGCGTGCCTAAAACACATAGAGAGGAATCTGAAACAGGGCACAATCGCTGGGATCCAATCATCTTGCAACAAATACGAGTTGCTGGAAAAAGAAGAAGAATTCTTAGAGTATGCTGCATTCAGGTACGCAGAGAAGAAAAGAGTCAGAGAACAGGGTCAAATGGATGCAAAAGAGAACAACAAGGATTCTGACGATCCCTTCCAGGATCTGCGCCCGAAGAAATGGAAAGCTGCAAAAGTACAGAAGAAGCAGGATCTCAACCATGGTCAGACAAAAACTGCTAAGAAAACAGCACGCGCTGACCTTGAGTTGGATCTCGCAGTCATTGAGGCCCAAGCAGAAAAGCTGAAGAAGCTCAACGCTGCATACCAACCGGAATTCACATCCCTGCAACACATAGCAGAGGGTAAAGCCCCACATGTACTTCAACAAGCCAGATCGGCCAGACTTACTATGATGGGACTGCGGCCGCTGTTAGCCGCTCGGTATGTAGAGGGAACCGGTGAATGGCAAGTCGCCACATAAGTCTTCTTCGCAATCCCCTTATTTGAAGAGGGTCAGAATTTGGTGTCGGTAATCCGTGAAAAAATTACTGACACTTATCCGTTGGGTGTGTATCAAACCGAAGGCTCAACGGAATTCTTTGGGGGCAAGAGACGGGAGCGCTGCATGAGGATCAGCGAGTGACCCTTACTGACCCAAAGGACTCCAGACAAAGCTCTTTCACCCCCCTGATCGCCAAGATGCCTGAGAGAACAAGACTGAAAAGAGGCATGATATGGAGATCATGGGACACAGTGACTGCAATTCCATACAGTGTATTGTCAGGTCTGGGAATCCCGGCGGAGCTGCCAGCAGCCTCGCTAGCTGACATCCTCAGAGCTGGCACACTGAACGGGGAGGCAGACCTAGAAACCAGAGCTTATGCCATGGATCTGGACTGCTTCTACAGGGATGACTTCCAGGAGGAGGACATGGAGGACTGGGCTGGCGATGAGCGCACAGACCAGGACCCCCTGGGCTCCCCGGGAAACCATGCCAGTGGCAGCATAGGGGAATACAAGATCGATGATCTGGGGGTGAAAACCGAAGTGGACCCACCCGTGACAGGTCCGAACACCTCAATCTCCACGGATCCGGGTGCCTCCTGAACGACAATTTGTCTGCCCCAAAAATAATAGGTCCCCAATATGGAGGGGTTTAGGAATAAAGCAAATCAACAGGCCCCCAAACCCAATTGGAAGACTCAAGGCATCACCATACGCAGCTGGAATGTGAATGGGTTAGGAAACATCCTAAGCAAGGAAAACAAACTAAATGACATAATTAAAGGCCTCAAACAGGAAAACAACAAGTTGGCGGACATTATAATGCTTCAAGAGACTCATCTAACGAACCACAACGATCACCAAAAATACAGAACTTTTTTATGAGAAAGGTGGGAGGAATCAAGGATGCGGTTTGGTCCTCAGACAATAATTCTAGTAGGAAAGGAACTGCAATACTAATCCCAAAGAACTTCCAACTTCTACTGTGGGGGGACGGTAATCAACACAGGATCTGATTAAATCGAGGGCACGTGGTGCTTTATGGACCTAAGATGGAAAGAAGAAGATCTCAAAGTGATCAGTGTCTACGCTCCCAACAATCGCAACGACAGATCTACTTTCATCGACTCCATAGGTCACTTAATTCCTCCCTTACAAGCATGCCTAATTGGGGGAGACTGGAATGCCACTTTGGACCCGGTCAACGATCGTATATCCAGAGCAACCTCACCATTGTCCTCTCAAGAAGCAGCTCCCGTCCAAAAACTCATCTTAGACCACAACCTGGTAGACCCCTTTCGCACCCTGCACCCTACTACCAAAGCCTTCTCCCTTGTTAAGAAAAATCATGCCCACCACACATCATTCTCTCGCATAGATTACTTCCTCATCTCCGACCACCTCATGGGGACAGTCAAGGAAGCGGAAATATTGGTGCTGGCGCCGTACCCAGGCCTGGACCATAAACCTATTGAGCTGATCATCAGTTTCGACCAATATATCCAAAAGGGACGCAATTTCCACAAACTGAATAACTCTCTCCTACTAAGTCAAGAATTCCAAGAAGGGATGTCGACGAGCTAGCACAATCTCAGAGGAAGCTTTGTCACAGGTCAGGACAGATGGGACTGGTTCCAGAAAAGCTACCTCAAGCTTGCTGAAACAGCAGCTATAATATCAAGGAAAATGGCCAACGATAGGAAACGGAGGAAATTGATGCTGGAAACGGCCCTCAGAGTAGCGGAAAAAAACTTGGCCACCAACCCGTCCTCTCCAGTGTACACAGAAGTACTAGAAAGGACAAGAGAATAACTGGCTGTATGGCGTCAGTGGGAACTGAGAGGACTCCAGATTAGAGCCAGAATGACCGACCTGGAATTAAACGAACAAATGTCCAAACACTCCTTTTCAAGAATAAAGGCAAACAACAGATCCAGCTCAATAGAGGGTCTCAAAGAGCTGACAGGCCAACAGGCAACTCGCACAGATAGTGAAGGGATGCTAGAGATCACAAAGAACTTTTATAACGAACTGTATCGAGCTAAAACACCAACAATCACCCCCTCCAATACCCGAGCGGCCAGGTCAAAAATGTTACAATACCTAGACAGGACAATATCTGATGATCAAGCTAACAAACTGGATAGACCGTTATCCATAGAAGAGCTACAGTTCGCGGTCCAGAACATGAACAACAATAAGACCCCAGGCATCGACGGACTGACAAAGGAATTTTGGGAGAAATTTTGGCCCCTAATGGGTTCGAACCTTATGGAATTCTACAACGACAGTTGGGAGAAAGAGGGTATGGGCGAATTCCTCAGTACCAGCGTGGTTACACTTCTTTACAAGAAGGGTGACCGAGAGCACATAAAAAATTACAGACCAATATCCCTACTCACACTTCCCTATAAAATTCTTGCCAAGGCCCTAGCCTTCCGCATATTGGACGTAACAGACAAATGCTTCCACATAGACTAGTCGGGTTTTATACCAGGCAGGTACATCCTAGACAATGTAATGACCCTCAACGAGGCATCCAAGAAAGTGATGGAGAAAAAAATCAGCACARCGATTCTTTTCTTCGATTTTGAAAAGGCCTACGATCAGGTAAATTGGGACTTCCTCGAAGCGAGTATGGAAAAAATGGGGGTAGGTCCCAACTTCAGAAAATGGGTCCGAGTCCTATACAACAACGCCTCCGAATGCATTCAAATCAATGGTTTGCTGTCCAAAGGCTACCCAATCTCTAGGTCAGTAAGACAGGGCGATCCGTTAGCACCGCCTATTTTTCTATTCGTTATGAAAACCATAGCTTCTTTCCTCCGTAAAGACCCATCTATCCAAAGATTGCCTGAAATGAATGTGGGCTCCTCACACCATGTCGTATTTCCTACAGTAATCATGTTCGCAGATGATTTAACGGTGTTGATACGAGCCTCCAACTCGTCAATGGCAGCCTTAGTCAGAGCAATGGAAGCATCCAGACTGGCATCAGAAATGAAGATAAATTGGGTAAAGACGATAGGATGGTGGTTATCTGACGAACCCGTCCCACTACTTCAAGGACCGGAGAACCAGATGTCCTGGGAGAAACCGGAGATACCAATGAGATACCTGGGGATCCAAGTGACAAAGGACGGCCCCGCCCCCCAGATGGCACAGAATCTCCTAGCCGGTCAAATCAACAAAATGGGGAAATGGAGTCAATCATTTACGTCACTACTAGGTAGGGCACTTACCATTAACACTTCCATATTCTCAATGATGTGGTACATAGCTTCAATCTGGACTATACCAGACCAGACTATCAAAGATTTGAACAAGAAAGCCAGAGCCTACTTATGGTCAGGGAAACCTAACAAAGAAAACTACATTCCAAAGATAGCTTGGCACTATATCACAAGGAAACCAATAGAAGGGGGACTAGGCATTATTGACCCCAAACAAGAAACGAAAGCCCTGCAAATTAAGTGGGTCATTAAGCTACTGACTAAACAATCACTGCCGTGGAACAAACTAGCACAAGACAACATCAGGAATCTGGCTCCAACGGAGTCCCCCACTAACATGTCCGGACTGTTCTGGATCATGAATAAAAACTGGAATCCAAGATCAGGGAGGAGAAGACTTAGAACTCGCCCCCCCCCAACTCCTAACCAGGTACCTCCCCCCTATTGGACAACCCTTATACGCATCTGGAGAGAGATCATGCCCGAGAAATGAAACAAACCCAGGTCCAAAGAAGAAGTGCTCAGGCAACCTCTCTTTGGCAACCCCTGGATCAGAGACGAGGGGGACCACCCGTGGACTCTCTCCCACAGAGGCAACAGATGGCTATCATGGATCACACACGGGATCTGGCGAGTAGGGGACATATGGAATGACAAAAGGAAGAACTAGCTGGACGAAAATGAGCTCAAAGCCCGACTGAAAGGCTGCCACCACAAGGATGAAAATCTGCAAAAGATTATACAGAGCATCCCGGGGGGCTGGGTTGAGCTGCTAAAGGAGGAATTCACATGGAAAGCGGGTGAGTGGGGAATCCCAATCCAGGACACCTCCCCTGAGAGGGCCTACCAATTCTCCCATCGAATATCTGGCTCAAATCCAAGAGACGTATTCACATCCTTCCCGATATTGAAGACTAAGCCAGACGAACCGTACATCCAGAATATCAATCCCGAAAGAGAAGTTCTGAATGCGTTCACACTCCGTAAAATAAGAACATTAGGACTCTGGCCAAAACAGATATTTCAAATAGGGACAGCAATTCAAGACCTCGAGTTCGATCCCTTAGAATGGGCTTGGCCCTCTGACCAAAACAGAACTACGAAACCACCAATCCCAATATCTGATTATACAGTTAAACTAGGGTATAAAATGTTGTTAAAAACAAACTTTAGGACCCAGACCCAATAATCAAAGGAAGATGGTGCAAGTTAATTGGTTCTGAGGCAGACCGGATAGCAAAAATTCCATGGAAGAAATATAAAACGATAAGACCCATAAAAATCAGAAGCATGCAGTGGCTCATAACATACGTGGCACTACCTGTCAACCAGTGGCTACATGTGAGAAGGAAAAAGAACGATCCAACCAGCTCGGGTGTATGCACAGTCTGCTCAGACCAGGAAGAGGAAGATTTGATACACTGCCTAATTAACTGTAAAGAAGCCACAGATTATTGGGCAAGAGCAGCAGCCCTATGGGACAGTCTTTTCTCATCCCCCCTCCCGGAACATCCCCTCCAACTGCTCCTGTGGACTAATTTACCCTCTAATTTTGGTAAGCCAGAGAAAGTCTGGTTCGGGTTGATACGCAAGGTCACACTATGGGCCATATGGAAAGAGAGATGCAGCAGAACTCTGGACAGCACGAAGAACCCGCGAGAGAAAGTATGGGCAGCGACTAAAGAGGTGATTGAAGCAGAAATCCGCTGTCATTGGAGGAAGGTCAAACTGTGGACGCAAAACAATCCAGAGTCAAAACACGTGACTTTGGCCAAATTCAAACGGGTCTGGTTGGTAGTGCAATCAGACTCGTTCTCAAACACACTTTTCATGCATGTAAACAGCAACGCAGCACACTGGCGACATGCGCCCACTCGAAACTCAGAGATGTGGCTTTCAGATACGAGTTAACTCTCAATTGGCTATGGCGACTTCAGCGCCCAAACATCTCACTGTGCACATACACTGGATCACCCTGGATATCCCACACGCATCACTCTAACACTCGAACACACACACACACTCGCTACTGACTACAGCTATGGCAGCTATCGCTGCATCTACCCTATCGCTATGCTAACTCCCTCTCTCTTGCCCACTGCGTCCCCCGGGCTCATCTGCAGACCTCCTTGCACAAGGCGCTGTGGCAGCGCTTCCGCATGGCTCACGCAGGAATGAATGAATGGCTGGGCGCTGCCTCTTGATTTATACTTCAGAAACTCGTTGGTCTGCCCTTTGCCATCGGCCCTTGGTGCTCACAGTCCCCCTGTGGTACTTGCTGGACCGGACTGGGACTGACTGGACCTTCCGCTGACTGACTGTGGACTCACCACTATCCTACCGACGTTGTGCTGCCGTTGCACTGCGGTTTAGTCCACCACTTGCCTCGCCACTTGACCGCTTGCCCACTTGCCTAACTTCTAGAAGGTCTACAGCTAAGCTTCCGGAACTCACTAAGACTTCTACGCTATAGACCTACAGATCGAACCTCTGCTGCCTATGGACCTACGACAGGCCTACCAACTGTCTACGAATACACAGGTCACAGGTTCAATTCTCGGGGTCTACACAGGTACTGTACATGGGTAGGGTGAGGTCTAGGGATCGAACCCTGGGTACTGCATMCGCTACTGCTAAAAGGTGAAAACCGTTTCACTCCCGCCGTCCTAAATTCGAGGTCCTCCGAGAACATTTCAGTCCAAGGCGGGACCTTTACCTTTCTTGTCACGTTCATAGGCTCTGACTATGTCGGGAGCGGTTTCTAGAAGTTCTGTTTTCATGAACCAGCGGTTGTCTTCCGGTTCTTGATAGGCAAAATGGACCTTATATTGTTTCTGGGGACGACCTCTACCTCCTGTTCTGAACACATCCTCATCTACAATGCCTTCTATATCATAGCTCCCATCCATATTCGGAGGGATCATGGATCTTCTCGAAGGGAACTGTTGATTTGTGACACACGGCAGCAATTTTGAAGCATGAAACACAGGGTATGTGTGGAGGTGTGCTGGAATCTCAATGGTATAGGACGGTCCATCCTCTCCGCCCTTGACTTCTAGAACCGGCCACGGTCCTCTATATGCGGGCAGTAGCTTCTGCGAGATGTTTTCCTCAGGTGCAAACTCTTTAGCCTTGACCCAGACTAAGTCGCCTACTTGAAACTGCGACGGGCGGTGGTGCTTATTAGCTTGCTCTATCATCCTATGCTGGGCCTTCCTGAGGTTTTCAACAACAGTTGCTAGATCTTTCTCGTGCTGTATCGCGAACTCCCTGGTACCGGGCGATAATCTGTGAATCTGATCCCGGTTCAGTCCTTCAAACGGTCTGCGTGGTCTAAAGGACTTGTGCAACTCATTGGGAGTGCGGCAGGTGGATAGATGCACGCTGTTGTTGTATGCACTAGCTACCTTAGGCAACATCTCATCCCAGTTAATTTGGTCTGGTCTAATGTACATGCGCAGAACTTGTTGTAGGATCTTGTTCATCTGTTCTGTTTGACCGTTAGTCTCTGGGTGACGGCCTGATGACATTAGCAACTTAGATCCGTAAACTCGCATGAGTTCTTGCCAGTTTTGGCTGGTGAAACGGCTATCTCTATCACTAACTATTGACAATGGGATTCCATTCTCACTAACTCAAAAGTCAAAAAACTTTTGTATAACTAAGTCTGTACGTGCCTCTTCAGGCGAAGGAACGAAAACTGCATATTTGCTAAAGCGGTCAACTACGACCATGACTTGGCTCTTACCATGTCTACTCTTGACTTGGGTGTCCATGAAGTCTATGGACACGGAGTCTCCCGACGGATCCGGAATAGGCAAGGGTCTGAGAAGACCTAGGGGCGCGCGTGTAGTAGACTTATTCCTCTGGCACACTTTACAACTGCAGACATACTCTATGCAGTCATTCTTCATTCCGGGCCAGGTATACGCGCGCATTAGATTGGCTAATGTCTTTTGCCAACCGAAGTGTCCCTCAGTATCGTGACATTCCCCTAGGATTAGACTACGAATTTCTTCGCTGTTGGGGACACACAGGCGGTCAAACACATTAGTCTTCTCAAACAGCAACCCGTCTGTAGTGCAGTAATTTGGTTCAGTCTCTGGGGGCCTCTCTTACTCTCTTTAGGAGGTCGCTATAGATAGGGTCTTGTGCATATGCTTGCTTCACTTTCTCGTGCAGGTCTCTCCCTATATCCAGATAGTGTACTACGGCTCCAAAGTAGTCTGATCTCCTACTTAGAGCATCCGCAACTACGTTATATTTTCCCTTCACTGGCTTGAGCTCAAAGTCAAATTGGTCTATCTCTGCGGCCCACCTAGTCAACTAAGGTGTCATCTTGGCCTGTGTCTTTAACCAACGAAGCGTCTCATGGTCCGAATAGACTTTGAAGTGCCTCCCGAGCAGGTAGTGCTTCCAATGGTCTAAAGCCTGCCTGAGAGCGTAGAGTTCTCTCTCGTACGTGGAGGTAGCGACCTTCTCACAGGGCATCCTCGCTGACATGAACTCTACGGGTCTATAGCCATTGTCGTCGTCTTGCTGTAACACAATCCCATACTGACTCGCGTCCGTGGTGACGACAAATGGCAAAGACGGATCTGCAACTTTGAGGACAGGATTTTCTATCAACGCGCGTTTTAACTTCTTGAGCGCAGACGTACAATCTTTATCCCATTGCCAGATTGCCTCTTTCTTTAGCAGTCTACGCAAGGGGGCGGCGATAGTAGAGAAGTTCCTCACGAACTTCCTATAGTAGTTAGCTAAGCCTAGGAACGACCGCAACTCTGTGAATGTGCGGGCTGTCGACCAGTCTCTAATCGCCGAGATCTTGCTGTCCTCTGGCTTAACGCCATCTCCGTCCAATACGTGGCCCAAGTACAAGACTTGCGTCTTGGCCCAATCACACTTCTTCGCATTGATCTTGAAGTTAGCCTCTCTAAGCTTCTCCAAGACCTGCCTCAGATGACCCTGGTGCTCCTGGAGGGTCTTACTAAAGACTAGGATATCATCTAAGTAGACTACTACAAATTTATCTAACCATGGTCTAAACAGGTCATTCATACAACGCTGAAAAGTAGCTGGCGCGTTGGTTAGTCCAAAGGGCATCACTATAAACTCATAATGCCCATATCTAGTCCGGATGTACTGGTCATCAGGATGAACCTCTATCTGATGGTATCCGAACTTTAAGTCTATCTTAGAGAAATACTTACAACCCTGCACCCGATCTAGAAGATCGTATATCCTGGGCAGCGGCTCAGCATTCTTCACTGTGATCGCGTTCAAACCCCTATAGTCTATACACATACGAAGCTCTCCTTCCTTCTTGGGACAAACAAAACTGGTGCTCCAAAAGGAGACGAACTGGGCCTGATCCAACCCTTCTCAAGGAGTTCGTCTAACTGCTTGCGAAGCTCCTCTAACTCTCTAGGGGACATCCTGTAGACTGCACCCTTAGGAGTTCTATTGCCACGCTCTATCTCTATCCTGTGCTGGATGGGTCGCGGCACTACCCCTGTCGGCGATTCAGTCAAGTCCTTGAATTCTTCCAGCAGCTTGGCAATTGTTGGATCTGTGGAACTATCCTTTTCCTGGGCCTCAGTGACAGGTCTAACATAAACTACAAAGACCTGTTCCTCTAACTGCTCCTTTTTGACTAATTGCGCGAACGCGGGAGCACTGAGACAACAATGTGCCAAGGTGTTGTCTACACCAGACACATGGAACAAGCGGGCAGTCTTAACCTCATCCGACGGGCTAGGGAGCCTACACTCATGCTCTCTCAAATGAAGTGTGGCCCCTGCTGCCTCTCCCTAATCCATTCCTAACACTACATCGAAAGGAAGATCATCTTGTACGAGGAGAGTCAGGGAATGGAGAACTTTCTCCACCTTCCTTTCCTTCTCTAAGTGAAAGTACGCCTGGACTCCCTCTACGTAGTCCTCAACGCACATCGTGCGGTTGTCTGCGAGGACACTGACTATGGGGTCTACTAATTTCTGGACTTTTAGTCCTAGCCTCAACTTCTTCAGCGCCCTATGGCTAATATAACTACGGGTTGCCCCTGAGTCTATGAGGGCCCCCACTCTACTCCTAAACACCTCTACATCTACTAAGATCAACTGTCCCTTACTCTCCTTTTTCATTTTGGCCCAGGCTGGCATCCTCTCCTTTAACTCTTCTGCCACACCTGTGAGGGACGTGCCTAAAGAGACGCTAAGACAAGCGGTCTCTGGACAGCTATCTAGGCACGGGCCTGCAACTTCTGCCATAGGCTCATGTGGGTTGGCAGTGTCCTGTTCGCGCGCGCTCACTTCTCGACATGGCCTGGAAGTAGGGGTAGTTGCGACCCCTACTGGTGGCTGCCTTTTGACGACTGAGCAGCCCAACGGGCCTGTCTATACTTTGGACAAAATTTAATTACATGCGCCGGGTCACCACAGAATACGCACTGACCCATGTTCACGCGTTCCTGCCATAATCGCTGGTCCAAGCCCAAGTCTTCCCAGGGCCTGCCCTGCGGCAAGCCTGGGTGCCATCCTCCTTGAGGTGCCCTTCCACCTCCTCGCTGTGGGGACCGGTTACCCTGTCGATTTAACGGGGGACCTTGACCCCTACCTCCCGCTTGGCGGTTTCCGTGGCCGCCAACCCCCTGCGCGCCCGGTCCTCGGCCTCCCATGGCCTGGCCCCTTTGGCCCTGGCCTCCTCCTCTGCCTTGCGGCCTTCCTCCGGCCGCGACAGCAGCGTAAGACCTCCCCTGCCCTACACTACTGTCCTCCTTCCCTAGGCCCCACTGAATCTGATCATATGGGACCTCTTCTGTACCACCGTCCTCTAATGTCAGGATCAAGTGATCCTTGGCCTTGACTTGGCCTGAGATGGTACGATCCTTCCACTTCTTCCCCTTCTCCAAGTCCTTATGCCAGAAAGTGGTAACTGGCATAGACTCCAACTCGTACAGGATGACTTCTCTACTTAATGCATCGTAAGTGATGCCGGCCTGTTGAGACTTGTCAAAGAAATGCCCTCGTAGGGCCTCTGGAATGGCGCGATAAAACAACTGGACCAGCTGGGGCTCAGTGACCCCATGGTCCGGGACGGCTACCAAGTCGTCCATGGTACTCTTGAGTGCCTTGGCACTCCTCCACTGTCGTGAGTGGATCGTTTGCAGCTTGTCAGAGGCTCTAATGCCTCACGTAGGGTCAGCGAAGCGCTCCTTGAGAAGCTTGAGGAATTGGGAAAGAGGGGTGACTTTGGAATATGCAACCAGGTTGTTTTCACAACCGGCTGTGCGCGCAAGAGACCTGGCGAAACTAGTCGCTTCATCTTTGAGGGCCTGGAAGGCCACGAGGACTTGTTCCTCTGTTAGGATATGTTGCAAGTAGATATAACTATTGACACTGGCTTCGCAGTTGTCAAAGTTTTCTTCCTTCTTTCCCCCGTAGGCATCTGGGAACTTAAGTTTCACTGGGTCCTTACGGGGTCTGGCCTCTCCCTCTACAGCGGCTACAGCTTTGGCACCCTGAATGGCGCCCTCACAAAACTTCCCTACATTGTCTCTCAATTGCTTGACTTCGCCCCCAATATGGGTGACGATCTCGCGCGCAAAGTGTCTAAACCCTGACCGCATGGCACTCAAGGCTACATCTTGGCTCCAGCTAGCCTGGCGCTCTTCCATCCAGGCCTTGCTCAACACTTCCAGGTACCCCAGTACCTTGTCCAACTTGGCCTTATCATCTGGCTGGGCCAACACCTCCTGCCTGCACGCTTGCACCTTCGCTACCTCTGCAGTCATTTTACTCACTTCCTCTCTCCTCCTCTTCTTCTCTCGCTTCATTCTCAACTTCCATGCCAGTTTTTGCTCCTCCTCCCTTTCTCGCCTTTCCATCGGATCTGTCATTGTTGCTAGCTCACTGGCGAGCGCAGCCCTCTCATCCTCAGTCACATAGGACTCTGCCTCCTCCTCTTCACCCAATGATAAATTAGCGACCCACTCGCTGATCTTCTTTTCCATCTCAATATCCGTCTCCCTCTTCATCGCGCCACCACTACTTCCATCTCCACTCTCAATCCTCATTCTCTCTTTCTCTTCTTCTGCCGCCGCTTCTGCTTCAGCAGCTTTTCTTCTTTCTTTCTCCTCTTGTTGTACTCTCTTCATCTCCTCCTCCAATCTCTTCATCTTCGCCGCCTGCTCATCTGCGATAGCCTTTAGCTTCGCTTGCTTCTCACGCTCTTTTCTCTCCCTGTTCTCTTGGACTATGGCGGCCATCTTTTCTTGCTGCTCCTTACTATAGGGGCTAGTCTCTAACCCACTACGGGTCCCAACCATGGTGATAAGTGTACAATCGGGTAAGTGGTTCCAAACCTCACCACGTAGACTATGACCCCTGACTGACAAACCTATAGACACAATCTAAGGCTTACAGAATCCTGACAGGGATCCTGTCAACTATGGTCTCTAGCCTAGACCTATGCTATGGCTGTCACTACTGAACCAGTGGCTGATCAGGAGGCATTTAAGGAGATCCCCGTAACTCCGCAAAAATTCTTTAACGTCGCAGACAGGACAACGTGATCAGCTTGGTTCTGCCTGTGCTTTCAGCCCACAACTCAGCCTTTCCGGCCTACTGTGCCACACCGAGCAGTCCGCCGGTCGGTACCGGTCCTTGGGAGGGTTTGACCTCCGGGACAGTCGAGTCGTCAGACACAGATCCTCAGCCTTAGTCGGTCCGGTAGGGGAGTGGTTCAAACAGGCCCTCAACACTTAAAGACTGCCTGGTGTCGTTCAGGCCCACTGAGTCCTACCAACCGTTTCCAGCCGGTCAGCACCGGTCCTTGGGAGGGTTATGCCCCCCTGGAAAGTTGGATCAGCCACAGCCTTAGCCCTACAAGGTCAGACTAGGGTTTCGTCATCCAAGCCCTATCCTTCATCCACAGAGTACTATGACCTAGGACAGAAGAGACTCAATGTAGAAAGAATAGACAGACAGACTGTACTCAACAAGTACCAAGGGGTATGTGCGCATCCATAGGGCAAGGGGTAGGCTAAGGGCTTGGCGAGATGTTACCAACTCCAGCTTGGTCAAAGTCTTGGTCAATGGTCTTGGTCAACGCCGGTCAACTCTACGGTCAACCCTCGGTCAACTCCGGTAACGCTGGTCAACGCCTCCGGTCAACCCTCTCGGTCAACCCTCCGGTCAGCTATGGCTGCCGGCTCTTCTTCCTCGCCAATCCCCTTCTTCTTCTTTACCTCCCTCGCCTCCTTTCCCCGCTGTCTTCTTCTTTCTCTTTTTTTTTTTTTTTTTTTTTTTTTTTTTTTTTGCTCGGCCTCTGCTTCMCCTCTTGGCTATGGCCGCTTCCTCTWCCTTCTCGGTCTCTCCCCCCTCTGTCCTTCTTCCTCCTACTTCGTCACTCCGTGGTACAGGCTCTGCGGCTATGGCCGCTGTCTTTCTCCTTCGTGGACTTCGCAACAACTTCACAGGTAAGTGACAACCAAACTTGTATCGCTCATCTCTCTCTCTCCCTCTCTCTCTCTCTCTGTCTCGGTCTTCTTCCTTGTCGTGGTCTTCTTGCAGGTGCGCGGCGGCTTCTTCAACCTCAGGTCCGCTATGGTGGACTATCACCCTCGGCGGCCACCTCGGCTATGGCGCATCAGGCCCTGCATACGACGGCGCGCATGGAATAGCGGGTACCAGCTCTGATACCAATGCAATTAGACTCGTTCTCAAACACACTTTTCATGCATGTAAACAGCAACGCAGCACACTGGCGACATGCGCCCACTCGAAACTCAGAGATGTGGCTTTCAGATACGAGTTAACTCTCAATTGGCTATGGCGACTTCAGCGCCCAAACATCTCACTGTGCACATACACTGGATCACCCTGGATATCCCACACGCATCACTCTAACACTCGAACACACACACACACTCGCTACTGACTACAGCTATGGCAGCTATCGCTGCATCTACCCTATCGCTATGCTAACTCCCTCTCTCTTGCCCACTGCGTCCCCCGGGCTCATCTGCAGACCTCCTTGCACAAGGCGCTGTGGCAGCGCTTCCGCATGGCTCACGCAGGAATGAATGAATGGCTGGGCGCTGCCTCTTGATTTATACTTCAGAAACTCGTTGGTCTGCCCTTTGCCATCGGCCCTTGGTGCTCACAGTCCCCCTGTGGTACTTGCTGGACCGGACTGGGACTGACTGGACCTTCCGCTGACTGACTGTGGACTCACCACTATCCTACCGACGTTGTGCTGCCGTTGCACTGCGGTTTAGTCCACCACTTGCCTCGCCACTTGACCGCTTGCCCACTTGCCTAACTTCTAGAAGGTCTACAGCTAAGCTTCCGGAACTCACTAAGACTTCTACGCTATAGACCTACAGATCGAACCTCTGCTGCCTATGGACCTACGACAGGCCTACCAACTGTCTACGAATACACAGGTCACAGGTTCAATTCTCGGGGTCTACACAGGTACTGTACATGGGTAGGGTGAGGTCTAGGGATCGAACCCTGGGTTCTGCATACGCTACTGCTAAAAGGTGAAAACCATTTCAGTAGGGGAAAAAGTGGCATGGCTAAGTCGGCAGGTTTTAAGATGGAAAGAGTGGCATAATTCGGTCAAATCTGTTTCTCAGCAGAGTACCCAGGTTCAAGAAGAGCCAACTCCAATTTGGGCCTAGAAGAGCATCCAAGATACACGCGGGACAGACTGCAGCCGATGTTTCACATGAAACATATCGCAGAAGATCTCAGGGGTCGACTTCATGCGGAAGGAGGTACTCCAATCGGGCCCAGAAGAGCATTCAAGACTTACGCGCAACAGGCAACAGCCTGTTGTCTCTCATGGATCAGATGCAAAAGATCAATCGTGCCTAGGGTTTAGGGGTCAGGGTTGAGATTTTTGTTTTGACAGAAACAAGACAAACAGGGTGACCGTCTAGAATGTTAGGAATTTCATGAGGATCAGCAGCGGGGTTTAGGGTTTAGACTGAGTTGGCAGCAGCCACAGCTTCTCAGTCCTTTCTTGCTATTCATGTTGTATCTGACAGGCTCCTTTRGTAGTCCTGAGAGGAAAGATGGAAGCAAGGCAAGCTGACAGTCAATCCTCCACGACGTTGGAGTAATCAATGCTGATCAGGGTTCCTTCGGCCAGACGGAAGGAAGCGTGAGRGTGTTCTATGATGTAATTATTTTTCCTGACTTGCCGGTGGAAAAGGAACCGGACTGATGCTCCCCAGAATGGAAATGGAGCCAGGGCCATAAGGACCTGTTTAATAAATTAAAAAAAAAAAAAAAAAGGGGACTTTGTTCCCTTTCAGTACCTTGTGATCAGAAGGTAGGGGGAAAAGTTTCTTGTTCATTCAGATCTTATCCATGGCGTTTAACTAAGAGTAAAGGTTCAATTTGTTCCTGTACTTCTTTTTTTGGTACAATAAGCTCAGAGCTGGCAGATCAAGTCGGATAATGTCATGTGTTTCCCAGAACATCAATTATGATGTATCTGCCTGTCACTAGTGGCAAGCAATACATGCTATTGTTTCTTCTGGAGTTGTTTTTTGTCAGACTCCTGTTGTGAGCTTTGGGTGGGTCAATCTGTGCCGTGAACTTTGATTAAGGTTAAGTACATTTGATGGAACGGGGCTTTCTGTGTTTCTACTTCGGCTTGTTGTTGTTGTTGTTGTCATCGTTGTGGTTGTTGTTTTGGTGGTGGTTGTTGTGGTGGTTGCGGTTGTGGCGGTCGTCGTGGTGGTGGTGGTCGTCGTTGTGGTGGTTGTCAATGTGGTGGTCGTTGTTGTGGTGGTAGTGGTTGTGGTTGTGTCTGTGTTGTGGTGGTGGTGGTGGTGGTTGCATGAGACAAGTCGTGTCCTTCTCGTTTCATTCATGTGGCGGTGGGGGTCGCAGCGGGGTGACGGCAGGGGGCGGGGGTAGGGATGGTGGCTGTGGTGATGGCGCAGCAGTGGTGGTGGTGGTGGTTGTTGTTGTTGGGTGCTGATTTTGTTCTTTCGCCTTTGACTTAAAGTCCGCTGACTGCCAGCATATCGGGTAGGGGCCCTTTCACGCTCTGAAAAGTTTCCACATGCGTTTGGATCGAACGACCCACAGACATGCCCATACATTGAAAGCTCAGCCTCCATTTTCAAGGCCGGAGATTTCGCTTCACGTTGCCAGAGCTGGTGGTTTAACTGACAGTGTTTGTTTTGGGAAAACGCTTGAAGAACAAGTCACGCTGCAAAGATAGCGAAAAGGATGGGCGGCTGTCCAACTATCTGTTTTTCTTCTTTTTTATTTGCCGAAGCGAACAAGGAAGATCCAAAACATGAAAAGGAGGTGGTTGCTGCCATCCGAGCTGTGCTTGATCATCCAGAATTGCTCGACGTCACATTTGTCTGTCATGCAGCAAAAGAGGTCCGGGCCAATCGGGCACTGTTGGCGAGCAGCAACGAGTACTTCTACAAACTGCTGTATGGTGACATGAAGGAGAGTGTGATGGACAGAATACCTCTTCCTGGAGTTCAGGCACACAGTCTACAGACGTTGATAAGTTGCCTGCACGGGCATCCGTTTCAGTTGACGCATTTCAGCTTCTGGGAGGATATCCTCGACACATACATGCTGGCAGAGCAGTATCAGGTCAACAGCCTGTGTGAAAGGATCTTGAAGTTGCTGTCACTGGCCAGGCTTCGTAACGCAAGCACACTGGGAGAGCTACTGAACGCGGCAATCCCGAGGCAAGCAGACGGAATACTTGAAATTGCTCTGAAGGCAATGAACAATTTCCTTCTGGCCGATTCAACTTTGTTCCAAGGGTGAACCAAGGAGAGCATCAAGTACTGTCTGGCGAAAGTTCGCTTTCATCCAAATGTCACGGAGACGCTGCTTGCCGAGGCCGTGCTCTCAGCCGCTTCCGAGAACCTTTGTAGCGATAAAGATAAGACCAAGACAATGTCAAAGGATACTGTTGAGTCAGGGCCAGGAGTTGAGAGAGAAACCGGTGCCACAAATTGGGATATAGCGAAAGAGGTCTTACCCGCAGATAAAGATGGGACAGAGCCTGAAAAAAAAAGAAGAAAGAAGGATATGACAGCGCCAAATTGCAAGTTTCACCAGCCAAGGAATCATTGGCAATAGATCATGTTGAGTCAGGGGAAGCGTCTGAGGAAAAAGACAGCACCATGAATTGCAATTCAAAGAGAAAGGTTTCGCTCGCGAGGAAGGATTTGGAGGAGATATTGGAAGGTCATATCAACCTTGCCCTGGTTGAACCCTGCTTTGTGCAGAAGAGGATCGAGCCGCTGAAAATCTTACGCCCGGAGGTACTGGCGGCAGCCTACAGGGTGCAGGGCATCTGCTTCTCAAGAGGAATGCCTCGCGGT